AGATCATCACCGAGACGGCCTCCAAGCTCGAGCGCAGCGGCTTCTACTGGGGCCCCCTGGGAGTGGAAGACGCCCACCGCATGCTGCATGAAGCTCCGCTTGGAAGTTTCCTAATCCGAGACAGCCGGCAAAAAGACGTCTTTTTTACGCTTTCCTATCACGCCAAGAGCGGTCCGGTCAGCATTCGCATCGACTACAAACACCAAAAGTTCTCACTGGCGGGCAACGAGCGCTCCTTTCCAACGCTCTTCGCCCTTCTGGAGCATTACATCAGTTCCCCCAAGAAAAGCCTGAGCGTCCCCTACAGGAGATGGAAGCCGACGCTGCAGGAGCTGTGCAGGAAGCGGGTTATAGAGCTGTGCGGAGGAGGAAGCCGCGTCCTAGAGTTGCCGCTCACTCATGTCGTTCAGGACTTGCTGTTGGAATTCCCTTACAAACTATGACAAGTTTGACTTTTAAAGTTTTGGTAGTCTTATTTTTAATTCCAAGGAAGCAGCTTCTACCCAGTAGCAATGAGTGTTTGGTTCCTCGCGGGTTGGACGTCAAGACTGCGTTGCCACGGTTTGAGATAAAAACAGCTGAGAATGTTGGGATGGGAAGTTGCAATATGTTTCATGAGAGACACAATCACCTCAGCTGGACCGGGTCCATTCATGACGTTTCAACATGTAACACAGCTGCAACTTGCACACAGGCGGAGCACCATTTGGTCTCAGGAAAGCAGGGAAAGTTGCAAAACGTTGCATTAAGAGGAAACTACAAAAACATTGAAGCAATTACAGAACTGTCAACTTTGACTGTCCTTGAGGAAACTTTGGGGTCTGTCGTTGCTTATTTATGGCCACGAGCGGCCCATTTAAAATTGTATTGTGGAAGAACTTTGGGAGCATCAAGCGAGTGGACTCTTAGGAATATCTTGGCCTGTTGGAGGGAACGTTTGAAATTGTCACACCACCACTTGGACTCTTGTAGCTAGTTTTTAATACTCTAATGATGTTGAATGTTTACCTCACGTATGAATGTTTGCCAAAAAGAAAAACAACAATCAATAACCACTTGACTGCTTTTCAAAAATCTTGTTTTAGTCATGGCTGACAGTTTTTTTGTAACTTGATTACATTTTGTTCCGAGGATTTCACGTGGCACTGAAGTGTTGCTGTTATTAAATTGTACTGTATTTTGAGACAGCTTACCTCATGTTCAACATCTCTGCCATGCAGAGTAGATATGAGAGTTTTACTGAATATATATATTATTATTTATGTTCATTCTTTGCGTTTGAAATAAAATGTATTTAAAATGCACCTCAATGGAATGTGGTTATTCTGTGACTGTATTTATTTTCTCTTGTGAAATATTGGTGAGTTAGTGAAGGTGAAATGAGACACTTTCAAAATCTAACATTGTCCATGCTGGATCACAGATGATTGGATAGACAGACAGGTAGGAAAAGGTCGTGTACAGTATCGTCACCACAGTGATTCATCTCTGTAGTTTGAAGTCACACGTGGGCGGAGTTACTTTGATAGTAAATGGACTGTTACGCTTAGACACAAACTCACTTACCAGAAACAGGCAGAAGTGACACATAATGAAGTGTGTGTGTGTGTGTGTGTGTGTGTGTAGTGCTGTCAAACTAATAAGGACCCATTGCAGATTAGAAGTTCCTCAGGAGGAAGTGGGAATTTTTTTGGGTTAGCGGTTTGACTGAGACATTATAGATCAAGGTCAGAGTTAAGAGTTTAAGTTTGCATTTCATGTTAGACCTCAATGATTTTTGGATGTAGCACAAGTATAAAAAAAATGAATATAAACTACTTAAAAATTAAGTAATAATAATAATAATAATAATACATTGGTTTTATATAGCGCTTTTCTGAAAACTCAAAGTCTGAGGCGTTACATGCAATGAAAGCTTTCTAAACAGGGTTTCTATTGTTGACAGTGCCAAATGGGCTGTGTTACCTTTATACAGTATAATGGGTGTGACAACACTGAACAAGGTTGGTATACCTGGTTTAAATGTGTGACTCATGGGAGTGTAAGGAGTGACAGAAAATACTGCAAATACTATATTTTCCACCCAGTGACTTAATACAAAAGCTAAGCTGAAATACTGGTCTCAATGAATCCACACATAAACAGGTGTGAACATCATTTGTAATGTTGTGTCAAGTAATTTAACAGGCAGGCTACCTTGTATGCTTTTCCCCAAAAAAGCTACAGATTTGAATTATCTATTCATCGTTTGATTTAAAGTACCCAGCTTGTGAAGGGTTACCATCTAAATACAACAGCTTAGGTTAGCGTTTAACCAGTTTAACCAGTTTAACCAGTAGCTAACGTTACCATTTAACAGTGCTTTAAAGTAGGGAGGTAGTTAATTTACTGTAATGTTAGCGACGAGTATGTCGAATGCTAAAGTTAGCTTTTGTGACTTGGCTGACCGTACATTAGGTTATTAAATAGGTTTTGTCTTAGTTCAAAGCTAAGATATTTCAAGCTAGCTCGCCAGTTTTTCGCATTAGACAGTATAATTAGCATTTCAAACGTGAAATATCAATCTTTATTCATGTTGCCAAAAAATAGCTAATTACGCTAAATTTACATCCAGTTCTTATGTAAAGTAAAAAGAAAGACAGCCAAAGTCAATATTCAGAGTTGACGAGATGATGTATGACTAAAACCATTATCTTTAGAAAGTTGACTAATTTGGTAATTTGGGCAGTTTCATGACATAGGCCTATATGAAAGTATTGTGTCACTTTTTCAGAAAGTGTAGAGCAGTAGGCCTAGCTATAGGTGGAATTTAAGGTTTTAACATAAGTTAACTCTTTAACTCTATGAACAGCTACCAACAGCTAACCAGAACACCAACACTGAAAACCAAACCTTACCAAAAGGCTAAGTGATGTTTTGGGGGATTTTTGTGCTCTTGGGTCTAGACACATGCAGACCCACGCATGTACACAAATAAACATACAATGCTGAGTCATACTGAACATACCGAGTATGATACTCACAACCTGATTCAAGTGAAGCCTGAATAGTGTGAGGATCTTATCTCAGTGGAACATGATACACCATGATTGTAATGTCTTCATATCTTTCAGTAGCTACTGATGTGTTATCAATTTTACTTTTGAATGCTTTACTTTGAAATTGAGGAGAGACATTTTAAGAGTGTAGGCTATTTGTTCCTCGGTGTGGTTAGGTGATGTTGATCATGATTGAATCATATACTGTAAATAGCAGTTTCACTCATAGCTTCTCATTTTTCAGGGGATAGACTATACCCAACTGTTTTGAGAAGTGAAATGTACCGGGGGAGGGGTCTTGGATTGAGTGTTTCTGTGGAACCTTTTACTGGGGAGTTTTCCGTCCTTTAAATACTGTACTCACAGACGCACACATATTCTTAGAAAATAAGGTCCTTAAAGTTCTCTATTACAGTATTTGGGGCTAAAGCGCCTGTTGTTCGTTTCTTTTTGCTGATCTAGCAGCTTCTCTGGTTGCTTTTATCTTCTTGGTCGCTTTTATCTTCTTGGTCAAGTATTTCCTTCTAACCAATTCTGATTCCTGAGTAAACCTCTCATTGAGAAGTGATGTGACAAAACAACTGCTGGAAGACAATTAGTCATCTACACATGCAGGCTTCTCCAGGGAATTGTACTCCCACCAGTTATTGTAATATTGTTTTTTCTCAGATTTTACAGAATTTCACTGGTTAGCAGGAAGTCAAGGTTTCTGTATTTGTCTCCCTAGGGAGAAACTCAATGGTGAAACCGTCTCTGTGCACTTCAGACTGGTTTCAAATCTTCCAATTTAACTTTGCGTCATAGAGTGAATGTGTTATGTACCATAGCCTCTATGAAACATGGATGTAGCCTTAGTAACGTCACCCATTGGCTTCTAAAGAGGCATTATGAAGCCAAACTATGGCAGTCCATGTATTGGTGACTCCCCCTAAAGTCCAGCTAATCAAGAAGCAGGTAAAAAGGTGGAGTTTAGGCATGCAAAAATTAATGTTTTGGTCTGTAAGTAAAAGTGCTGTAAGTTGTCTGTCCATCCAATTTTCTAAAACTAGATACTAGGATAACCAGGTCATGAAAACTGCCATCCACTCAGCAATGGGCAGACCTGAACTACACCACCGTACACACAAAGACAATCTCTACAGTCGAAACTTTAATCTACGCTACGACTATGATTTAGTAAAGAGGATACATACACACAACTCGAGCTTTTCAGTATGGTTGCTCTACCAGGAAACCATTCACACCTTTGCGCACATGCAAACAGACTTCCCTGAAGAGGGGAACTGCGATAAAAATAACCACAAGATGACTGCGGGATCCTGCTGTGGCTGCAGAACATGGCAGGGGTAGAAAGTGCAAAAGGCAACGTCACAGCCTCCTGATGTCATGCACATGTATAAGAAGTCAGGTCAGAGACAACACACATCGTTCTTTATACTTAAAAACATGAGTGTGGACATCGTTTTAGAACTGCAGTTTGACAAATATCCTATGAAGACACTGCAGTTGAGATCAAGGTTTTACTGCTTTTCTGACACATGTTGAGGCAGCACAGACATTTGAGACACTGACAAATAATTTAAATAATGTTTTACTAGAATTGTATCAAACATACAAACATTAGTCAATAGAGAATCTTTTTAAAGCTGTGCTCCTTTGGCAATTAAAACAGCCAGTGGAACCCTTCTTGCTCTTAGCAACGGTTTACAAAGCTGTGGGAGTGTGTTGGTGGGGTAGGCAGCTCTTTTCTAATATTTCCTGTGGTTTTCTTGCTCAAGCAGAGGAGGGCCTCCTCCGTTTTAGTAACAGTGTTTGATTCTGCGAAGAGGGAAAAAAAAAAAACAAGATTAAGATAGAGAGAAAAAGAGAGCGCATGCTCCTCTAGTCAGGGGAATAAAAAAAAACAGTAACCACCTCGTTTTGTCTGTAGAAACAAACAAAAAAAAAAACGAATGCACAATCTCACCATTGTTTAGTAGAATAATTTATTGCAGATCTTTATTTATTCCTCTGTTTAAGTTCATTAACAATAATTACAGGTTTAAAAGCCAAAAGCATTTACAAAGCATACAAATGTAGCACTTTATACACACACACACACACACACACACACACACACACACACACACACACACACAACAATCGCAGACTAGGTAATGGAAGCTTGTCATGGCATGTTTGGAGAGAAGCTGCTGAGCGTTGCAGGGAAAACGCCACCATCTTGTCGTCAAACTAAGCCATTTTACCCCCCTCCCCCTCTCAATCGATCAACAGCTGCTGTCCAAACTTTCCCGAGCTTCTTCAGTGATCATCACTATCATTCTTCTGCTATTTACAGCAGCATGATGGAAATACTAAAGAGACAGACTCCAAAAGAAAGAGTATTGCTCTGAATGTCTCCTTTATAAACGAGTTGATGACTGTACAGTGTTAAAAAAATAAGAACGATGAAGCGTGAGACTTAAGCTCAATGGCACAGAAAAAAAAAAAGAACGAGATCTAGAAAAGCAAAAGACTGAGAGACAAAGATGAATGAAAGGATTAAGAAGACGGCATGACGGGGGAACGTACAGTATATCCTAAAGAATCTCTGCCTGTGCTTCGTTCCTAAGAGTTACAAATCAATCATGAATCAAATACACGCATGCCATTCTAATTGATCACCACTGTTTGGAGAGATAAGTTGTCTGTTACATTCCTCTCTCCCCGTCATTGGTTAGCTCTTAGAGTATTGCAGTAGTAAAGCTTTATTGGGATGATTAAAAGGAGGAGGGTGAGGAGGGGTTTGTCTCGAGACGCTGACCTCATCGGTATCGAAAGAAAAATCAAAAACGTTTAAACTCCCACAAGAGCGGACGTTTCTTGGGGTAATTGTTTTCAATTTCCGTTTCTTGCATCCAAACACTTCGTTCTACTTTTCCGGACAACTTGAGTACTTTCCTTACAAATGTATTTCCTCCAAAGAAGAGGAACATTTTAATGAGTGCGTCTGGAGATGGATTATCAGACTTTGAATGTTCCATACTGCAGAGGATGTTCAAGAGAGTGAGGGGAAACGAGCAGCTACATTCATTCAACCCAGAGGTGTTGTGGGGGAGTGCAGACCTGAAGGTACAGATGTTATTTCAGTTGACACCAATTAAAACTGTCAAATTCAAATACAAGCCCCTCCCACTTTACGGCCCAGTCCCTTTTACGAGCCTGGTGTTACTGCATGTTTAAACAGATAAAGGCAGGTCTAAATGACTAACCCCCCCCCGTTCATTTAGTGTTGAACACAGATCATCATCAGCTATTCTTTTCATCAAGCTAGAATATATGTTATAAAATATATCAACAGAACTCCACTTGTCCTATGAGTGAAACAGCAGCATACCTGTGTTGTTACGCTCTGTAATGCTAGATGAAGAGATTGAATGACTGCCTGCACAGACTGAGAGATCCCCGGTCAATTATTTACTACTACTCTCAGTGAGCAGCAATCTGTTATGTGTAACTAGTGTGCCTGCAATTCAGCCGTCTTTCCTCCTTTAAAATCTTCTGCATCATTTATTCGCTCAGGTTGCCGATTGGTGGATTTTGTGGATAAACACCTACTCTAAATGAAGGCCAATCCAATGATGTCAAAATGTGTTGATTACTATTGCATATTTGGAAAAAAATACTTGTTAGCGACCTGTGTTAAACTCATGCTTATGTTTAACATCAAAATAATTGTTTGTGAAACCGGCTCCGTCTGCATTAAAGGTGCTGCAGATTATTTATGCATTTTCAATAATTGACAGAACTATAAGCGGGAAAAGTATGGAACATTTCTTGAGATGTGGAACAAGAGAAACTGAACATAATGCTGACAGCACACACTTGAGGCAGCTGAATCATTTGAGCCTTACACACACACACACACCCTTGATGGCAGTGACTGCTAACAAGTCTCACATACAGGTGTTGAAAGGCGAGTGCAGGTGTCTCAGTGTGTGTCTGTGAGCAGTGCGTGTGAACCAACAGGAGTGCTGAAATGCTCTTTGAACATAAGACACAGAACGAGAAGCCGTCTTTTAGAATCTTACAAGTGGTTGAAACAGCAGCAGCGTGTGTGTGTGTCTGAGCTGACAATCGATCAGAATGAGTAAAAAACGTTGCTGGTTGCGTGTCCTCACACACGCTCACTAAAACTGAAGTGCAGAGAAACATAAATGTGCTTTAAGCCGTCCTCTAGTTCCTCAGGTGTGTGTTTCATCCTTCTTCATGAGCAAACACAAACGATATGACGCCTTCAAAAGACTTTCAGATGTCACACTGCCTGCAGGTCCCAGAATAATTATATACTGCAGCTGAGCTGGATAGCTTAGTTTACCTCTGTGTGTGTGTGTTTGTGTGTGTGTGTGTGAGAGAGAGAGACAGAGAGAGAGAGAGAGAGAGAGAGTGGTTTCAGTGCATGAACATGAGTTGCTTAATCCAATTCCTGCGAGTCTGGTGTTTCAGTGTGTCTCTCTGCATCTTCTGTCTCTGCAGCTGTCGACTCGTCCCCTTCTGTGACTTGCTCTGTATTTACCTCAAGAGGGATATCTTCACCCTCTGGCTCCTCCAAGGCCTCCTCAGTGGGCGTGGCCAACTCTGTGGTAGTCTCCTCCTTTACTGTTGCGTCTGTCTCCGTCTCATCCAGTGGCGACCCCTCTTCCTCTTGCAGCTCCTCTTCCTCTGTTTTTTTCTCTCCATCACCGTCGTCCTCCTCCTCCTCCTCCTCTTCTGCGATGGAGGCGCCTGGTCTCTGGAAGGAGATCGTTGCTGAAACGAGGCTGGCGATGGGGTGCAGGTGCGGCGTGTCCGTCGGGGGCAGGAGAGTGAGCGACTCCACGCTGAGGGCGTCTGCTGTGCTGTCGGTCAGGAGGGAGATGGTGGGCTGGGAGGCCGGGGTGAGGCTCGGGGCCAAGGTGGGAGCTGTGACTGGAGCGGAGGGAGTAGAACACACTGTCGTTAAATCTCCACCTTCACCGCCTGAGGAGGAGGGCGGGGTGTTCTCAAGAAATGTGCCATCATCTAGAGGAGAGCAGAGGAGAGGGAAGAGTGAGGCATGTGAACACAAGGAGATCATTGTTCAAGTTTTTCTCCGAGGCCCTGGTGTAAAAAATTCCTGGTATTCTTTTAGTAAATTATGTTTTTCAGATAAAACGAGATCTTACGAGAGCTTATAATCAAATATACCATCAGGTCACTGAAACAAATGACAAAATATTGGTCAAATTCCATGGTATGAACTAAAATCAGGAGCCATGGAGCAGAAAATGGTTTGCCTAAAGCAGAAGTTTGTAAAATAAATACTTTATAGAAACAGTGGAACTATACATGACTGAAGACACACTGAGACACAGGAGAACTGCCTGTGGTGACTACAGAGATCTATGCAGGGAACAAGTGCATATCCGACACACAGCAGGACGTTAAATAAGTAGCTTCTCTTTTCTTCAAACTAGACTTTAACCAAAAAGAATGCTTCTTGGGTATTGTGGTGAATAACGCTCAAAATAGTACAAGAAAGAGTCAAACAAACATTAATGCTCACCGAGCGGATGGTATTTGCAAAATACGGAATTAAGAGATATTTACAGCACTATGCAAAAAATAACAGAAATGCTGGCAGACATATGCTTTTTGATTTTTTTTTTAACCAGAGAGGGTCGGTGTATCCTCTAAACAGAAAGGCTTAAAAAAAAGAGGTGCAGGATGAACACACTGTGCAAACACGTGATACACACTCAAAAACAGCAGCTCACATTGTTCTAGAGGTTTTGTGGCAGCAGCATATTTTGGGAGGGTTGAGCTACAAACTAAACAAGCAGTGCAATGTAAACTACTGTGTGAACATACTTACATTGTAAGATGTAATGATGCAGTAAAGAGAATACAACAAAGCTGAAATCCTAACAGTAATACATATCAGAGCTACAGAAGTAGAACATTTGGACTTGGGCACTAACCGCCAGGCCACCGGCGCCCCCAACTATTTCTATAATTGTTATATAATTGCTGGACTTCGCTGTCAGATGAGAGAATTTACAGACTACTAAAGAGACAGCTATAGTGTTATATTTTTCTTTTTCCACAGCAAATGTCAGCTACGAGTTATCACATTTGACTCAGCAGGATGAGAATGTTTGTAAGGTAACATAACTGATGAATGCACACAGGACAGAGCAAAAAGACAAGATGGACTGCTTTGTCCACAGTGATCATAAAAATGCATTCCTCAAAAGGAGCTTTAAATGTGCCGTTTCCTAAACAGGAATAAAACCCTGTTTGTACACACACACACACACACACACACACACACACACACACACACTCAGTGCTGCAGAACAGAGCCAACACCAAACATGCAATCATTTTCATCTACAAAACAATGAAAAACAGATCCATTTTTTAAACTCTGGTGTTCTGTTCAGTCGGGGGAAACGGTGCGCTCCAAACAAAGAAACGTGTACATAGGCTCTAATTACTGTCCTCAGGAATGTGCTGAGCTAAGCTGCACCTCTGTAACCAGCACTAACAGACAATCTAAAGCCGACAGGGGAATTCCTTACATTCACGTTGAAACAGCATCCCCTATTACAGATTTTAAGCTTGTTCTTGTCTTACCTCTGCTTGTTTTGGTATGGTATTAATATGAAACCTTTCCATAGACACACCCCATACTCTAAGGGGGGAAAGTTAGAGTGGATTGTACTGTTTTTTTGGTCTGTTAGGCCACACAAAGAGTTAAATACTCTAACTAGTTGCAGAGCAAAAAGCATTTCAGTGCTCAGCTGCTGTTGGTACATAGTGAATCATTCATTCAACATTCAGGACAACATATCTCCTTGGTCTATGTAAAAAAAAAAAACACCCAACAAACAAACAGCAGCACTAGAAGCCACACAAAGTTCAGGTGGAATGATATGCGTCTTTACCGAGCTGTGTAGTGTTTCTACAGGTGGTCTGTAGAAGAGATAAATCAGTTTGGTTTGTCTGGTGCTCAAACCCACCCTATGTTAGTGCACATATTCAATATGTGTAGAGGTCTTGAGCCGTTACACAAGACGGGATGAAGGGGTTAATTATCAGCCTAGCTACATCACAATGAAACTTCTTTTGTTGTCATATGGGGGTTTAGTGTTTCCACTTCAATGCTTCTGTCTGTGTGTTTATAAATGTTGGAGACGTGGACATGTTGTGTGCGAGCTACCTGTGGGGCTCTGAGCTGATATCGTGCTCGCGGTTACAGAGTCACATCTTCCTGTGCTCCCACTCCCACTGGAGGGAGGCGAGGGGGAGGAGAGGGGTGAGGGACTGTGCTGCGACACGCAGTGAGCCACTGCAAACCCTGGTGAAGGAGCACAGGAACATAGACACACGAACAGACACACACGCATGTGTTACCATGGCTGGGAAGTTAACGTACAGGACCATATCCAGCTTTAGCGTCCTCATTTTGGAAGATGAATGATGCCTTTTATTTCTTTTAGGCCCACAATGCATTAGAAAAAGTTCTGACTCTATTGTGTGTCACAGTTTATACACAAAGTTGAGTGTCTCTATCTCTGAACAAGTGTTAAAGCTGCAGCAGAATGTGCAGGCTGCGGAGCCTGGTTATCTGTATGTCACCTGGAACTTTATCCACCGAGGCGAAGACCGATCTATTCGCCATGGGGTCGTTAGGCGCCCGCCTCGACTGCTCATAGAAGCGGAATGGCAGGCCGCTGGGCGATGCGTTGGCCGTCTGGCCGAAGCCCAACACCTCTGACGCACTGGGCTGCACGGGCAGGTCCAACAGAGCTGCACACACATGGCGAGATTAAAAATAAATGCAGAAATAGATCATACGATTATCATATATTAACCTTTAACAGATTTGTTCTTGGGTAGATGGACCATTAAATACTCCGTGCTTTCTAACCTGCGATCCTCTGCATCTTCATGCGACGGGCCTGGATGCGACCTTTGGCCAGCCTCTGCTTGGCGATGATGCAACGGATGTGGTCAGCGAAGATGAAGTTGGCCTGCAGGATGGGGAGGGGCTTGGCGTGGGGGTTGGAGCTGGGCTTATGGATGACGATGTTCAACGCTCTGCTGTCATCTTCAACCCCCGACACCTGCATGTCCTGTTCACACACAGACAGGGGTGAGACGGAGAGAGTCAGGGGAATGTGTGAAAGACACACAAAGATGAACAACAACAAAAAGAATCATTGCTAACTGTAAAAAAAACAACATTTTTTTTTTTTTTTTATAATGGTAGAAAAACATACAATCATTTTTATTACCACTATATTTACATTTAATACCTTCTCTATCCATGCTGTTTTGATCTGGTTCTTTTTGTAAAGCACTTAATCTAGTTTAGAAAGCTTTATAAATAAAGTTTCTTATCACTAGAAGAGCAGACCTAAAAAGAGCTCAGCTGACGGTCATAAGGAGCAAAGAGGAAGGACACATGATTTCAATTTAATAGACCTCAACACATTTAGAGAACACATGATACTAAGTCACTCTGGTAGGTTTGTGATAAAAACAAATCTTACGTTCTACTATTTAGGACTTTTACTAACTGATGTCATAGCAACACTGCAGAAAATGCATTAATGCATTAAAGTACAAAGAAGTGAAGCTCAATTATGGTGGTAATAGTGAAACAGAAAGGACACTTTATTTGTTGCTCTTTGAGCTTTTGAGTTATACATAGCATATTTATTTTGTTTTTACATGATTGTGCTTATTAGAGATCCTTTATGAAACTTTTGTTATTTCGTTGTTTTTTATGCTCTACTTCAGGCTTTGAGGTGTCGAGCATTAATATCATATTTCTATCAGACCTCGCCCTCTGGTATAAAGCACACGCACACACACATCACTGATACTACAAATCCCAGCATGCACCGCAGCAGCCGCTCCTTCTCCCTTCTGCTTTGTCTGGCAACATAACGGAGCGTCTTGGAGAGTGAAACCTGCTTCTTCAGAGACGATCATGTACGATGCAGTGAGCCTGTGGGAGACTCGGGCGCAGAAAGCTGACTTTGTGCGACTTTGGGGTTTTGCCGAAAGGTGACAAACCAGGTCTCTGTTCCGTCTTCCCGACCACGCACTGTACAGTAACACTGAGCACGTTTGGCACAGAGTTCATGTAGGGATTTTCAGACTTTTCTTGCAGCCAATAGAAGAAGCCAAACATCTGGCTTCACTTAAATATAGCTTTTCTTTCCCCCCCTTTTTTTCTGTAACCACAAAGTAGACTTTTATGGTTTGAAATATTTGCACAGTTTCCCTTGCTGTGCCTGATTGCGTTGTCATGTTATTTAAATATTTTGGTTTTCTTTCTCGCTTTTTGATTGGCTGTTTCAAAACTGGACTCTGAAACACTGCTGATAGAGCAGGAGGATTTTATTTTGAAACATGTCGATGTTTCTTTTTACTTACATTTTGATCTCTAGTTTGATTTGTTTCATCGGTTTGTTCTGAACTCTTAAATATATTTTAGGAGCAGTTAAGTTCATATTGATGTATTAAAAGTTTCACATATGACCTCGGATGATAACATCTTCAGTTTAAGTATGTTTTTTAGTAAATGTTGATGCTGTTTCAGCCTCGGGTAAATCCCAGATTTAAATTTGACCCCCTCTGTAATTGAGTTTGACACCCCTGATTTATTTTATGAAATTAAATATTGAGAGTTTGGATAATATGGCACAAGGAAACTTCCACACTGACACACTCCCGCTCCTTTCTTCTCTTACTTGGAGAAGGCCAGCAAACTTGACGACCCCCCATCCGAGGCGTTTGGTTTCCGGTTCGACCAGACTCATCTGGTACACATCCACTGCCAGGAACCTCTGGGCCTGGCCGCCATCTTTGCTCACCACCATGCAGGCTATGAGGTCACTGTTATCTGAAAAACAAACAAACAGGACAGGGAATCAACTGCTGATTCGCTCAGATCAAGGATCTGTAAATATGTGTCCCGAATGTGTAGGATGGTTATTTAGAAGAAAAAAACACAGCATCACTCATGTGGATCAACCTTAAGTGAGTAAAGAGAAGATTTAACAACGTACTTCTGGTTTATTGTACATCTGAATAAAATGATTCATCTTTTGAAGAAAACTTTACTGCAAGATCAGTAACAGATTACCCAGTTTTTAACCAAGCGACAACCTCCGGTCGCTTGTCAAATGAAGCCAATGTGTTAGTGCAAAATCCTGGAGCTTGTCGAGCCTCTGCTTGAGGCTGATTCCAGGAACAACGAAGTCACATACACACAACAGGCAAAAAAAGCCGTTTCTACAGCATAAATTAACATGTTTACAGCCTGGTACAAAAAATGAAAGAGGTCTGATTAGTTATTGTCATCACTGGCACACACTGTACTTTGCATATATAGATTTTTTTTTTTAAACCGCTCCGTTTTGATATGAAGCGTGTAGCTGACATGATTGATAGGTGGGCGCGATGTAACATTTCGTCAAAAGGCTTAAAACCCGCCTCAGCTCCAGCTCTCAGCCTGTCGTTAAGTTGACTGAAAGTTAGGCTGCGACAGGATTTCCAACATGGCGGCTGCTGCTGATGATCCTCCAAGAGCCCCCTGCCATAAGATGGATGACATCACCAAGGCTCCGTCCATCTATATTCACAGTCTGTGGTTTTTACAAACAGCTCTGCTCAAAACAGCTCTTCTTTCAGCACATTATTTTACCACCACAGTCAGTCACTGAAACAAGAGCAGA